ATTTCATGTCTAATAAGATCTGAATATTGTACTACAGCTACATGAGTTTGCTGCGGAGAAACATCAAATAACTCGACGAAATCTTTCACAAAACGGAGCACCTACAAGCAAAATTAATTTAAAATTCTTGTGGTACACGGAAACTGTAACATATTTTTTCATTTCGTATTATTTCAATTCTTCGTAACTAATACAATTAATATAGCCAAAATCTTTAAGTACAGCGATAACTGTTTCACAATGGTTTCAACTAAATTTTAAAACTTAAGTAAACTTTAGGACCTCTTTATGAAAGATATCATAACCAATCGAACCACTTCCATCGATTAGAAAAACAAGATCTGTTGATTGCGCTGGGCTTAAACCATACTATTAATATTAATTGTCACAAAATAAATTTCTGGAAAATCGGCAATCAGAATTCAAAATGTCCTGGAGATATTCGGTATTGAGAGAATTACGAGAATTCATCTTTATTTTCTTATTAAGTATGGAGTTCTTAACAACTAATATCCATGTGAATAAAAGTAAGAAAAATTATTAAATCTATAATATTCTTGTAATATTTTTCGTTGCTGTGAAGTAGAAAATGATTTTTTTGATGATTTTTGATGATATGCCTCGCATATTCACTGTAAGCTAAACATGTGAGATGACGTAACAGTTGCATAGATTATAGCTTAAAAACAATAATAAGCTTTTTGCTTACCACTGAGTTTGCAGGGTGCATACACGTCCGGGTGGTAGCTTAGCATTACTGGAAACGTCAAAATATCCGGTAGCACAAATGCAAGTATAGCCGTCGGGTAATGTTACACAGTCCGCATTTTCATCGCATGAATTCGCTAATCGATTAGCGCATTGATTCATGGCTACAATTATTTTAATTAAAATAAATAAACGACTTGGATTGAATTATGCTATAATTAAATTATACTATGTATAATCCAATTATAAAATTAATGTGCACGACAAACATTGAGCACAGCGTCGTCCAGGTTTTAAATCATAGCGTGAGGAAACATCCTTAAATCCGGCATTACACTGACACAGGTATGATTCCAACGTATCGACACATGTAGCGTATGGTGAACAATCGTGTTTATTTGTACCACACTCATTAATTACTGGAAATGTTACTTTATTGTTATTTAATTATTGATAAAATTTTAATTTGTTCAATTTTTCTAATTCGTTATTAATTTTTGTTTCATTAGTACTAACAAAAAACATGAACTTTTCCTGTAACTTTAGTTTTGTTAACATAATAGCTCCTGTGCTTATGCAAATTAATGAAATTTACGTTGAGTGCATTTCCTTCCTGGTAAGCGTAAAGGATCAGGTGATGTATCTAAGAATCCTGGCGGACATTGACATTCATATCCATCATATGTGTTCGAACAGATCGCAACCAAATCGCAATCATTATGTCTTTTACTGTGATTGAATGCTGCAAAAAAGAAAACGAAAAATATTGATTAGTTTAGCTGTAGAAAATTAAAAATGATTTCTAAACTTATTCTTAAATATTTAAAATAAATTTCGTTTTCACTGCATGAAATTTCTGAGCATCGCATAAAGCATTCAGAATGAAGGGAAAATTGAAATGGAAATATGTTAGAAATATAATTGAAATGTTAAAGGATTTTCAACACTTATTCAAATTTTAATCCTTTTATTTCTTTAACATATTGAATGGATATTGGAATTTAGTTAGCATTGTCCATTAGAAGTTAAAATATCAGATGTTGATATTGACATTAATGCATGCCTTGACCATTCCTTGAACTTGATTTCAATATTGGATCACATCGAAATTGCTGGAATATTATTGAAATATCAAAAAGATGAAGTAAACGTCAAAAAATTTTTTTTGAAATTTTTTTTTTTTTGCATAACGTTTTATATGAAAGATTTATACCTGATTAGAATGTCAAAATGATTAAACTTCCCAAAATTTTCCATTAATTTTCTGTTATTGCAAGCTAAGTTACTTTTCAAAAGCATCTAAACTATAATTTGTGAGAAAACAATAACGCCAAACCATTTGTTGGAGTTTGGCTTCATTGACATATTGGGAACCTTTCGGCGCAATACACTGACGGCCTGGATAGTGGGCAATATCTGGACTTGCATCCACAAATCCTTCCTTGCATTTGCAAATATATCTAAAATAGCATTCAACATGTTTCAATCATCAATGTAGACAATAATTTACTTCAATTAACTTATATGGGTCTTTAAGTTATTGATATTTTTCTAAATGTTTCATCGATAAATGGCTTTAAAGAACGATTGCTATATTCCTTATCACTATCATTCAAAAGTTTAAAATGAACAGCAACTGTATCTCAAATTAT